AGAGAGAGAGAGAGAGAGAGAGAGAGCGAGAGAAGGAAAATAAATGAAAACACATGCAGTCACCTTAAAAGATGGGAATGTGTAACCAAGAAAAACAACAACAACAACAAATATAGAATATACTTTAAAAGAAGGGCATGAACAAAGTATTCGACAGTTAACCCCATAAAGAGAAGAATTAACAAAGGGGTTAAACCGACCAGAACCAACAATGTAATCCTGGTATGTATACATAACGAATCCCACCAACGTAGAATTCCCTGGCCTTACTCCCTCTTTGAAGAAAGAAATAAAAACACAAGAAAAAAATATTTTGTTTCCATGTTTGTTCATACAAGTTTTGATAATTTATTTACATACCTCTATAAAATCTTTTTCCAGATGATGTTTTCTAATACATAACAGAAACTAACGAAATGGAAGTGCTGAGAAGCCCTTTTAAACCGTCTCCCGTTCGGGGCGGAGTGGGTTGGGTTAGGTAGGCTTTTCAGAAACTTACTGTTAGGCAGACTGTAAAGATAAAAAAAAAAAAAAATTTGGTTTACCAAGACCCCATCAATCTCTAGTCCCATAAAGTAAGGCTTTGCCATTCTTATCGCAAGCTTTTTAAAAAACCCAGAGCAAAGAGTTTATTTCTCAGTCAATGGTCCTAAAAACGCAAATATAAATATATATACATATACTAAACAGATTTTCCATGTAAAAAAAAGACGAACCGAAGAAAAACCACACCAAGAAAAAAAAAGAAAAAAGTGCAAAACAAAAAAACAAAATACAATATAAAAACTTATATACATGAGATCAAAGAAACGTTATGTTTCTCAAGATACAACTTAGAGGGGACAGGAGATTTGATATTACCAAACCGCCTCATCAAATCACTATAGTCACTCGCCTCAAGATGATGAATAACAATAGAATTAGATGTAACCAAATAATGCCCACTTTTGTTTCGTATATTAAAAAATCGACAATAATCAACTTTAACAAGACGAAGTGGTTCATAATTTATCTCATGCAGAAGCACACGTCCAACCATTATATCCTCATGTTCCATATTAAATGCCTTAAACTCTGGCTCCCGTTCCTTGCTGTACGGCAAATGTACAAGACGCTGTATAGGCTTAAAGGACACAAGCTGCAGCGCCACATCTCTCGCCAACGTCATGCAGTACCCAATCATAAAATACACATTCGGTGGATTGGCTCTCTTGCCGCGCCAAACACCATAATACCCTCCCATGTAGGTCCCACGCCGTGGTAATAAACGTAAATCAGATAAAAACTGTGGTACTCGCATGAACATATCATCATCTCCCTTCGAAATGTAGTTCACATTCGGGAATACTCGCAGTGCCAACTCATACCAAAAGTACGTTTTTCGGCTCATACCAATCTCAGCCTCGGTACCCCAATAACCATTCCCACCAATTGTTTTGTTCGTTGTTGGCAAAACATCATTCATCGGCAGTGTAATGATATCATGCCATTCATCAGACTCCTTCTCCAGTGCAGCAGAATAGTTGTAGCCCTGTGATGGGTGCCGTGCAAGTACATACAACACCAACATGGCCCCAGTGAAGTCATTCGCCCTCCGTGCAACACCAGGGAACTGCCAGCACGTAGTCCGCTGCAGATCACGGCGTCTCCGCCTCGCCTCAATGTCAATGGATGGGATGCCAAACACAATGAGGTAGTCCCTCTCCCTCCATGTCTGTATGGTGCTGTGTGGGATGTAGCGCAGAGACTCAGTGACATTCTTCAGCGTGAGCGGCGGCAGCGACCTGTGGGAGAAGTGTCCTTCCTCACTGTAAGAGAAAAGAAGACTGTCATAATCCAGCCAGAGCAGTTCCACGATTACCAGAAGTATACAAAAGAAAACAGCATAGAAAACCCTTTTCCCTGTCACAGAGGGCACTAGAACCTTCATGCACACTGTTGGCCACCTAGCAGCATAAAGAGAAGAAAAGAAAAGAAAGCGTCAATACACGAACATCCCTACGCAGCAAGTACCCAATATCACAAAACAAAGGAAGATGAACCACAGCCATGCAAGAACACAGGCTGAAACAAATCACAATTAAGATCTATCTGTCAATCTATCAGTCCCACTGAACCAGGGCAGTGGCAAGAGAGGATAAAAAAAAAAAACACGGGTGCAGCAGACAGTAGGCATCCCGTGTCAAAGAAGAAGCTGAAAGAAAATTATCTCATAGAGAAAAATAAATAGGGAGGTAGAATAATTAACAAAAAATTATCTAAACACACTCGACAGTTGCTCATGGAGCACCTGGCCGAAGCAGCAATGCTCCAGCAGAGTAATAAAGAAAATATCTAAAGTCAGAAAAGAGGAACCGGGAAGAAAAATATTACAGGGACAATGCAAGTCGCGAACAAATACCACTGAACATAAAGCACACACGTCAGTAAAAGGGTCTGCGGATTCCCACAGCGGCATAAGGTGAAGGCGACCAACGCACACCAGGACCAGCATTGAGAACAGCTGTCGGAAAGTGAACATGGCGATACCTTCGCGCCTCCTCCTGCAGCTGCGCTTCTCGCTCCTCCCGCTGCCACATCAACCCACGCCGAACCCAAGCATGGTCCGAAAGTACGCTCAAAACTATAATTATCTATAATATGATCTATTCTACTTACTATCTGATTCATCCGGTGATTCTACAAAAGGAACATCTTCAACATCGAAACATGTTCGAGCCCGTTGCCTCAACTCTCTAGAATAATCCGAAGGGCCAGTTACAATATCCTCCTGTCTTTGCTGTGGTAACACACGACGAGGATTACAGCCACTGACATTGCGCGTTGGTGGAGCAGAGAGAGTAATATCGCCAGATTGATCAACAAAAGACACTTTCCTTTCATCTCTAACTGTTGATCCGCTCACTTGATCAATAACAGATGATTTGGGCAGACTTTCAACTGTACCTTGAAGAGTGCTACATTCAGCAGCACGACTCGCAGAAAGAATTTCAGATAGGTTCACATGTTTTCCATGAATAATTGAAGTGTTAAATAAGGACCTCTCATCATTATCATCACCCCTGGAGTTACACGCCGCAACACTGCTGTTCATCTGGACCACAGACGTAGAACCATGTAGAATGCTCGGCACGGCACC